ATTTATAGGGTGTGCTCAGGGAGGAGGGGCCCATGAAGGGCTGGGGAAGGAGAGGGGGGCAGCAAGAGCCATCACCAGATGGCCTTAATCTCAGGCCATTGTGTGGCAGAGGGAACGGGTTTACCTCCTGTCGCTCCACTACTACACTGCTTGGGACCAATGGTGGTAAGTAACTGGGATGTGGTGGTCAGCAAAGCTACCATGAAATGAACTGCTGACAAGGGCGCTCCCCTGTCCAGTTTACAGAGGACTTTTGCATGCATCCCCACTGGGCTGTCTCAACAGTTCTGTGTATCAGAAGCAGGTATCCTTTGCTATCAGAGCTCTTACCACCTGCTATCCCAAACTCTGGAAGCAAACAGATTCGGAAAACATGCCATCCCTTGCTGGCCAAACTCTTACTTCCTGAATTTGGGAACCAAATACATTTGGAGACTGATGCACATTTGTATTCGCTTTGAGGCTTAAAGGAATTAAGAGACTCAGGCAAAGTCACACGGCTAGTAAATAGTAGAGCTTGGATTTAGAACCAGGCCTGTTGCTTAGAATTAGACGTGCCTATGGCATGCCACAGGTGGGGGATGCCTTTCTATGATGCTAGAATTAACAGCTCTGCACTGAGCAGGGGTGGGATAGCTCTTAAGATTGCCCTGTAACCAAGAGCCCATGAGTTTATGATATTAGGACTATTTGGCAAAAAAATACAGAGGTATGCTGGTCTGAACAGAGGAGTTGGCCATTATAAAACCAGCCATTGACTGCTCTTTGCTGTTGCCATGACTTCTCTCAAAACCACCCGTTTCACATGAGCAAGGACAGTTGTTGGGCAGAATAAAGCCTTGTGGAGGAATCACGGTGAATGTGGAGGCAGACAGTAAATATTATCACTCACTCACTCACTCACTGTTCATTCAACGAACACTTTAGAAGACTCTCTGTGGCAGGCATTGGGCCAGGAGCTAGGGCTGTAAAGATGAACAGAAGGACCTGGGCCTCGCCCTGGGGAGCACAGACTGGTGGGGGGGACACACACATCAGCAGATGACACAGTACATGTGGCAAGTTACATCATGAAGACACAGGGAGCTTCTTACCCAGCCTGGGAGGTGCAGGAAGGGCTTCCTGGAGCTGTCCCCTGAGCGGAGTCTTGAAGGATGAGTTAGCCAGGTGGAGAAGCAGGAGAAGGGCATTCTGGGCAGGCAGGGCAGCGTGGGTAAAGGCATGGAGGTGAGAAGCAGCATGGTGCACTGAGGGAACAATAAGCTTCTGCCACGAGGAGCCCGAGATGGTTTAAAGCAGGGTGTGACATGGTCAGATTCTCAGAGTAAAGATCCCTCTAGCAGCTTAAACCAGTAGCGGTGGCGGTAACTAATTTGTCACAGCATCTGAACCCCCCTGGCCCCAGATAAGAGGTCTGGAGCCATCTGTTAAGATAGTTATATACAATATCAAGTGAACAAGTGATTGAGGCCCCCCACTTATATGAGGACAAGGGACAGAAATTTAAGCTCAATTCTACTGGTAGAAGTAAAATACACAAAATGGTGATCTGTGACCCAAGCTTCAGGTACTGGATTGCTTGACCTCGGAATCTCCAGTATCAAGTATATTCCTTATGAATGAAAAATCTGTCGGACCATTCTGAATTTAATACCCACACATTTCAGGCACCCAATCAGTTAATTTAGCACTCAAAGGAGAAAAACTGTGTATTTGGTTGTGATCATTGGTCAATAGAGTCAAGATGTTTGTGCCAATTGTGTGAAGACATGATGCCATTCTTATTTTCCCTGGATTGGTATCTGGGCCCTGAGATGGAAAGAGGGTACTAGGTGGGCCTGCTGGGGGGTCTTGAAGGCCCAACCAGGGTGTGGCACTGTGAGGTTTGGGTTTAGTTTTTGTTAGGAGTCCCACTTGTCTGGAACCTGATTCATTTCAGGCCACCCAGCCTCCTTCAGGTGACGGGGAGAGACAGTCCCGGCTGTGGAGCAGGTGCCTGGGCTGCAGTGCCTCCTCCGTCAGTTTTCCAAGCCTGACCAAGCCGGCCTGGTGCCCTCCTCTTTGAGCTCCCCTTTCTCGTCTGTTACCTGGGGCAAACACCTGCGCCACAACCCTAGGAAGGTTCAGTGGAACGACACAGAAAGAAATGCTTTGTAAGCAATCCATAAATATAAATTGGAAGAAAATTCTGATTTAGGTTCATGGACTCAAGGTAATTCAATAGCCAGGATTTTTTAAAAGTGATCTTCTTAAGAGTGTTTGCCTCAATAAACTTCATAGATTACTCATAGTTAACTATATAGCTATCTATCAGAAAGAGAGTGAACACATATCTTTCAAGTACTATACAGGGAGGAGAAGGGCCCAAAATGATGTGTTTAGTGTCTACTATGGGTTGCCTGCAACTGTCATGTCATTTCTTCCTCACTCTGCTCCTCTAAGGTGGGTATTCGTGTCCCCATTTTCAGAGTAGGACACCAAGGCTCCAAGAGGTTAATGAAATACACAGGTTGCCCAGCAGCACTGATTTCTAGCCATGAGCCTTGTCAACGCTTAAGTGCACTGCCAATGTTAACAGTTCACATGGTAAATGATAAAACATGAAACTATGGGAATTCTAGGTCTCCCTGTTGTTATAGGCATTCTAGAATGGTCTAGGTGTTATGCGGGTATATGCATCAAATGGCAATGGGATGGGGGTTTGCACCACATGCCTGGTTCTGCAAGAGTGGAGTCTAAGGCGGAGTTGATTCCATTCACTCGAGACAGCTGCCTCGCCTGTCTCCGTGGCCTGGGCTGCCCCAGACGCTGTCCTCAAGCGGGGCTGCGGTGGAGCCTTGCTTTAACGCAGATGGTCCACAGGCTACATCCCAAAAGAAACTTTGTACCTGTGGTCCTACAGATGTGAACTGCTTTAAGACATATTAGCAGTAAAAGGACCTTGGAACCACTGACATGCTAACGGAGTCTACAGCCCTTGTGAGATGGGCCTTGACATTCCCCAAATCTATGAGAAGCAGGTTATAAATTTTTAAACCCTAGTGGAAAAAAAAAAAAAAAAGGAAAGAATTTCATTAAGAACACACAAACTTTAAGGAAGAATGAAAATACTTTTATAACTAATTTAGCAACAACAGCGCCTTTTAAAAAGAGAAGGCTGGTTTTAATTTCGATTGCTGTTTGAGGGAGGCAATGGGAGTGGGTTACAGAGTTGCCTCCTGGGGCTCTGGGCAGCAACAGTCACAGCAGGAACCGCAGGTGCACACGCCTGTGTGCAGCCCTGATCAGGTGGGCGCACAGCTGGAGCCGACGAGGCTCCCCCTTCCTGCCCTCTCCACCTGAGTGTGTCCCACCTCCTCTCGTTCTCTTGGGTTATTCTCCGTGTCCTCATATATATGTTTTCTGTGACTTTTCTTCCTGTGCCTGTTTCTACCTCTGTATTTCTCTCCTTTCTCACCACCTCTTCCAATCCCTATTTTGTCTCTCTCCCTTAACTGATCAAAAGAGAGTGAATATGTACTTTTATGTATTTGTTTTACTTATTGAACAGTTTTCTGCCCCATATGAAAGTAGACAGGTGGGTGGGATGTTTTCTATTCATTTGGAAAACAAATACATAGTGGGTTTTTATTTATATGAATCTTAATCAATTCCTACCACTGCTTCCCCACCCTCAATAAACCCTCAGAAATCAGGGCCAGCAATAACAGTCCCACGCTAGGGCTCCTAGCTTAGAGCAAGAGAGGATCCGCGGCGTGCCGACGCCTGGGCGAGGGAGAGCAGCATGACGAGGGAGCATGCAGGGTTCGGGTGCAGTCTGGGCATGTGGAATGGAGGCCCTTTAGCAACCGCCCAGTCACGTGGCACCACCCTCTCCACCACTGAGCTCTGCCACTCTCCAGCCTTTGCCTTGACCCTCCCCAAGTGAACTACCTCCTGGAACCTGAGCCCACCCAGTGTTTCACCCCTCCCACACCTTTGCTCGGGAGATCCCTCTGTCTGACATGCCTCAGCCACCCCCGGCTCTGTTCACCTGGGCAACACCTACCCATCCGCTGAAATCCTCCCTGATCCACGGAACCAGCTAGAATGGACTCTTCCTTCACGCGCCACTGTGATCAGGGGCGGGGTCTCAGGCATCTGGTTTCCCCAGTGCCCAGCATAGTGCCTGGCACATAATAGGTATTCAATCAACGTTTGTTGGAAAAATGAAGAGTATAACATCTCTTGTCTCCCACTTTACCGGAAGGATAACAAAGTGGGCAAACTTGGCCGCAGCTCTCAGGTCCCACCCAGTTCCCACACTTTCCCATGCCTGGCTCCGCTCACCTGCTGCAGGCTGCCCCTCACCTGCACAGCCCTCCCACTCTCCACAGCTCCCTCTGCCACGCCCCCGTCTGTGATTTCCCATGCCCAGTGGCAGGAAACCTATCCTTCATCCGCATTCCCAACTACCTGGTCTGTTGTCACCTTATTTGGGCCTCTCTTACGGCTGTTTCAGCACCCCATGTTAGGCACACACATGACTGTCACCCCCATAACCCACACAGTGAGCCAGCCCCCCCAAGGGTGGAACTTCCAAAATGACCATAGGTTAAACAAGCAAGTGAAGGCATCTCTGCCATCCCTTGGGATTAGAAAAGCCAGAACCAACAGTCCTGCCGGCAGACAGGAAGGGACAGAGAGCCAGAGCCCAGCCTGCCAGCGTGGCAAGGCGGTGCTGAGTGCAGGCGGTCACTCTTCCCAGCAACACGGGATCAGAACGTTACACTACCTTGTTGGCCAGTGCGTCTCCCGGTCCATCTTCGCCTTTCCCAACACTTAGCTCTGACTGCTTGCAATTAGTATCTGAGAGGCAATCTAAAAGAGTCAAGCTGCATTATGGAGACCCCAGGAAAACTGCAGGGCACAGCTCATCTTGTGGAGAGTGGCTCAAATGGCAAAGGTTGGTTCCTTCACCTACTCAGCTGGGCCTCACCAAGGAAATAAGATCAAGAAAGTGGTGTTTGTCTTTAGCATTTATTTATAATTGGAAAAATTGTTTGTTTGTTTGTTTTTCTGAGCAAGCACAGACCACAAGCACGTCACAATCAATTGGCTATACATGAATATTTTTGTCATTCTCTTACTAACAGCAGGAATGAAATAGCACCAAGAGAGGTGTGCGCTACAGGTTACATAGACAATCTGTGGTATGCAACAAAACCCAGGCCACAAAATCGTAATTAGACACTTCCTGCCTGCCTTGGACAGGCAAAGCCATGTGGACTGAAGGGGAGTGAGGACAGAGAACAGAGCTGAGGGAAGCCAACGCACAGCTTGAAGGACTACTTTTGCAGGCAGGGCAACAGCGGGGAAGCTTCGGCCCCAGCTCTCTCGCCAAGGGAGTATGGGGAAGCCACAGGGAAATGTACAGAAATGGGCAGGACAGGTACCGGAAGCTCGGTCACCTTCAGAAAGGCAACATCAAAACACTGCTTGTGGAACCAAAATCAGTTTCATTCAGTCTGTTAAGGATACAGAATGAGACTGGCTGAGTTTTATTTGTAAACAGTAGAAATCAAAGGAAGTTTCTTGTCAGTGAAGTGACACATTCAAGAGTCAGAGTGAACCACAAACTGTGTTTCCTCAGTGGGTGTGCTAAAAAGAAGGGAGCTGACAGGTTGAAAAAGACATTATACAGGTCATCAAAAGCCGCAGGCAGGGCAGGGTAGGAAATCTAGTCCCTGGGGCTGCAAGGTGGGTGGGAAAGCCAGTGGGGCCCTTGTGGCAAGCTGCGATTTGGACAATGCCAACTGGACTCAGTCACAGGGATCAAGTCAGGTCCATCCTTCTGGTTGTGTGGCTATGGAGACAGATTTATTTATACTGCCCACCAAGTCTAGCACAGTGCCTGGCACACAGCACTCATTAAGTGAATGCAATGAATGATCCCTTGTGCATTGTAAACTGATTTACTTGAGCTGCAAAAAATACACGGTTATTCTACGGAGAAATCCAAATTGTGGCTAACATCAACACGTCTGACTAACGCCAAATCTTGAGAGAATGCACAGACATTGGCAAATTCTCTGGATACAGTTAAGACCATGTTGATAGGGTTCTCTGGCACATGGTAACATTAGCTAGCCAGTAGCTGGAATCAGTACTGAGATCTACGCTAGTCATTTCCAGATAGGCGTTCAAAAGTTGTGATTCATGAACACTGAGGCTTGCTAGCATTTCCTATCTTCTTCCGTACTTCTCCTCCCTCACAGCTTCATACCCTGAGAAAGAAAGGGAGGTCGCAGTGGGCCTGACCAAGCACTTCATTTCTAGCCTTCCTGTTCTGTTACTAATTATGGCCCGTGTAGCATACACTCAATTAATTGGCAAAAGACTTCTCACCCAGCCCACGGTGACAAACCAAATGGTGCAAACCGAGACTTTGCTGCCTGAATGGTCAGAATAAGAGAGAGCTTGTGGAGGCTCTGCTTCCTCCAACCCAGAAGGATCTAAAGGGAGTTTTAAGGTCAGGAATTGTGAGACCTGCACTCTTCCCCACTTTCATTACAAAAGAAAAGCATGCCTGAGCAGAGACTTGGTGCTGTTCGGCGCCCAGCAGTTTCAGAATGCTGGGGACAGTGATGATTTTAAGGACAGAAGAAATAAAGTGTGCTGAGCAATGTACACATCTACATTTGCAAATATAATGTTTCTGGCAGATATTCTGGGTTCCCTCACAAGGACTGGGGGTCTTTTCACAACAACTCCCCCACTAATTCCTACAACACAACTTAGCACAGCTAAGGTGGCACTTGCCACCCCCGGGGGCTTTGGCCACACAGACACGCGACACAGAATACACTGAGAGCTGCTTTTATGCATTAATGAGGTCAAAGACGCTTGCCAGTCACTTAGCAGGGCACTCTCCCAGTCTGCAGCTAAGTCACAGAAAATCCCCCGACCTACCCTCAGCACCCTGTCCTCTCCGAGGAGCGGAGCAGCAGCAGTGCAGGAAGGGACAGCAAGCATCGCCACACTTGCCACTATGTCTACATGCCCCTTGGGTTTCTCAGACACAGAAAGCCACATTCTAAATACACTATCCCTACACCTGCAACAGTCTTCCTCAGTCACCTTTAACCAGTTGCTCTGCAAAGTCAGCAGCACTGGATAGGCAGTAAACAGAGGAACAGCTCCTCATTTTTGTGATCTTCCTATGACATCTGGAATACACCTAAAACACCAAACCCTTTTACCACCCCTGGCCTAGTTTTGGTTATCAGTGGCATATCTATTACTCAGCACAGCCCACTGATAGGAAACTAAACACAGGCACACATTCCTAACAGAAGATTCTATGAAAAGACTACTTAACAGACACAACTCCACTTTATTGACATTAAGGCCAAGGTTGTTTTTTTGTTTTTAATATTTCCACAAATTTTGTCAACTGCTGCAGCCCAAGCTGAGCTTCTCTAGCACATGATAATTTTCTGAATGTTGGAAAAGAACACATTTACCTAAAGTTCAAAATCGATCAGTGATACCGACCTTGGGGAACAAGAGGGGGACACCCTGCAGACACTTCCAAGCACTACGGGGAGATTTGCTTCCCAGCCAGCTCAGAGTTGCCTCCCGCTGGCACCAGCCTGCCCTCCTTGTCAGCATGCAGTCTCACTGACAGGGGAGGGCACAGCCAGCGGGCAGAGTTTCCTGGTGTTCCGGGGCTGGTGGCCTGGGTGCCTGGACCACCCTCAGGAGGAGGCATGCTACTCGGTCTCTGAAGCAGGATTCCTCCATTAAAAAAACCAAACCAAAGAGCTCCTGGAACACTCAGGACCAAGGCAGATGAGAAGCCTCTAATTAATTTTGTGGCCTTTTTTTGTTCGTTGGTTAAAAATAAAGAGAGAGAGAGAAGAGTAAAAGGAAAGTGCAGTGAAATTTACTCTTTCGCCTCAGCCAGTTTATTGTTCATCTCTTTGCTTTGCTCCTTGTCGTCGGGTTTGGTGGCACTGGGGCCCTCTGCGCTCTTTTTCTTGGTGGCCTGGCCCGACACCGCCTGCTTGTCTTTGGCCTTCCTCGGAGGCTTATGGCTCGCTGAGGTCTTTTTTGGTTTGGAACTCTGAACACTAGGTTTCTCCACCTGCATGGAGAGACAGACAGACCGCAATACAGAAACACAAAAGGGAGTGGGAGAGAGAATTTAGAGAGAAGATATTATTAATTTAACAATAGTGGTAATGGAAGTTTGGCACTGATGGAGCACAGCGTATAAAGTGTTTCCAGTGACGCTGGGGCATTTGGCTTCTTCCGTCTGAACTCCCTGGTCAGCCACGTTGGCAACGTTCACTGGCCACACTGGTTCCCCTGCCCAGCCAGTCCTGCCCCTGGAGCCCCCCAGGCAGTGGGCTATTCGCCATTCTGCAATATCTGATGCCCCTGCCTGTGGGAAGTCTAGACCTCGTCACCTTGTTCAACTCGGGCAAAGGCATATGATTTGCTTTAGTCAGTGAAATGTAAGATGCGATATGGGTCACCTCCAGGCAGAAGATTCCAGAGTCAGTCTGTGCTTCGCACTGCTCTCTTTTCCTCTGCCATAGAGAGAGGCTTCTCTACCACCCTGAGGCCCAGACAGAAGAGGCAATGAGAAGTAGAGCAGCAGCCAACCCACGGTGGACGTGGATTAATAAGTAAACCTCTGTTGATGTAAAATGCAGAGATTCTGGGCTGGTTTCTTACTACAGCCCCAGCTGGTCTTGCCCTGTTTCTGTCTCCAGGATGGTGTGCCGGGAGGTCTCCAGCTGCAGCTGGGCCATCACACTGCCGGCCCTCCATTCCTTCTGGCTGGCTCCCTGGCTGTTTCCCCCAGGACAGCTGCTCCAAGCCCCCGCCACTCTCCCCGAGCTCTCCCCTCTAGCTCTGCCCCCTCATTCTAAAGGGATGGCCTCACCTCCCTTTCTCAGAGAACTCTGTAGCCACTAGGCATGATCCCTCAATATGCCCCCTGTTCATGTCTAGATCTGATTTTCCCAATATTCCTTCCTTCCTCCCCTAAACCTTCCTTTGTCCAGTGCCAACCCCATGTCCTGGGCCCCCTCATCTGTGGACAGACAGAGCTGATGTTGGGCCTCGCAGGCTGGCTCATGCACTCACTGAGGGCCAGTAGTTTTCAAACACCCCTGATCCGTAATAAGGTAACCAAGTGTCCTGGTTTGCCTGGAACTGAGAGGTTTCCTGGAACACGGAACTTTCAATGCCAAAACTGGAAGAGTCCCTGGCAAACTGGGTCAGATAGTTACCTTACCCATAAACTGGCCCTGGGCCAAATAGGAAATTCCAGTCAAGTGCAAGACTTTAGGACAGAAGCAGAGAAGAGGCTAATTAGGTTCCAGAGCTGTTTAGGTTCTCAGACATTTTCTGCTATTATCATAGGACAGAGGATATGTGCACAGTTCCATGGGCCTGACACCAGAGAGTAAGCAGGGCTGCTTGGCATGTACGATTCCGGCTTCTCTAGCTATAGCTCCAACGTGCTTCTCCCGCTCGTGAACTCATACTGAGATGCCAGTAAGGCAGGGTAGTGTTATTACAGGAAAATCCCTGAGTCCACTTTCACACACTGTTTATTTTAGTAACAAATTACTGGGAACATATCTTGCAGCTGATGGAACAGCTGGTGGATGGTGTTTGTCCAGGAAGATGAGAGAGGGCAGGCACTCTTCAAGGACTGGGGAAGGAAGAAAGGGGCCAGTGGCTGGAGCCAGGCTGAGGTGGGCTGAGTGGGACCGGGCAAGGGGGCCCACAATACTGGCTGAGCCTTCGGGGGCAGAAGCACAGCTATGTTAAGACAAGGGGATTTAGGGCTCAGATGAGATTTTCTGTCATTCTTTTTCTGGATTTCTCAAAATCAGAAGCTAGTTCTCTGGAAATCTACCAGCCTTTAAGCTGTTTTTATTTAGGTAGTGCTGCTTTTTAACATTCCCTTTGAATTTAACAAAGCTTTTTGTTGAAGAGGCCCCTGGGTCTCAGTGTGCTAAAGAGGAACCCAGGGATTTTTCAAAGGAGCCCTGGGGGCTGGGCCAGAGTTGGCAGCAGCCCACCCCCATGCTCCGCTGTGCTGCGGTTAACCCTTCCAGTCTGGACAGAGCTGACGGGTTCCCACGAGGTCTGTCTCACCTTTGGGGGTTCCTTGAAAGGTTCGCTGTAGAGGCTGCGTATTCTTCTGCGGTCAGTGACCTTATTGTCAGCTGCTGTTGGCTTGTTGGCCTCCCCTTTGAACTGGGCACTATAGCTGGTCTCGTGAACCATCTTATCATCTGGGGGCTTGTATTGGGGCTTGGCTTTTATTGGTTTCACAGGCTTGATGTCCGTCCATGCTTTGAATTCATTCCTGTCAGTCAAAGAAAGCATAAGTGATGTGAAACATCATATGCCTGGAAACAGTGCTCCTAACGCACGGCCACAAACACAGCAAGCTCAAAATCAGTGCTTGTGGCATTGACTAAAGGGTGGCTGGAGGGTTAGCTTCTCTTTCATCATGAAAAGTGCAAGTTTTCCTTCTTGCAAAGTTACCCAGGTTGTGGTGATAGCAGTGGTGCCTTGGAGAAAGAGCTCGGGCTCCCCGCTCCACACCATGTGATCGTGGGGAGGCAGTTCTAACCTTCGGGCCTCGTTTTCCCACTCTCTAAAATAAGGCTGAAAAAACCCAACCCATTTAGTCATTCGTGAGTTCAACAGATACTGAATGTCTGCTATGTGCAAGGTTAAAGAGTTGTGAAATTAAACAAGATAATACATTAGGCACACTCACTGCCTGATATATTGTGGCCTATCAGCAAATGCCAATTCCCTTCCCCACTTTTTCATAATGAAGAACTTTTCTTGTCCAGAATCCTTAAGGATAATTCCTCCCTTTAAATAGCAGAGAGCTTGCTTCTTATAGTGCTAGAACTTTAACAATTTTAATCACTTTAGATGAACATCTTGTCTAAATATTTGCAGATCTTAAGTAAGCAAAATGTGCTGAATATAATTTGGTTACTACAACTAAGACTAGTGTTGGGATATGTATATGTAGGAGACTCTTTCTTTTTTTGAGACAGAGTCTCCTCTGTCGCCCCAACGAGAGTGCCATGGCATCATCATAGCTCTCTGCAACCTCAAACTCCTGGGCTCAAGCAATTCTCCTGCCTCAGCCTCCCGAGTAGCTGGGACTTACAGGTGCGTGCCACTATACCCAGCTAATTTTTTCTGTTTTTTGTAGAAACGGGGTCTCACTCTTGCTCAGGCTGGTCTTAGAACTCCCAATCTCAAGCGATCCTCCCAGACTGCTAGGATTATAGGCGTGAGCGCGCGAGGCCAGGAGAGTCTTGTTGTGTTTTGGTGTGAATGGCTATTGGTCCTTACCCTGAATGATCCTCATCTGCTGCTTTTTTGAGTCAACGTGTCAGTTTTCTTGTTCTCAGCAATCCCTCTCTGGGTTTCTCATCAGCTGTTTCTGATCTGTCATAGGGCTGATGGCCAACGACATTCAAAACAGGGTAAAATAAATGTAGCCGCTGAAGGAGGCCATGGGAGTCGATCCTGTTTGCTAAGTGCATGAGATTCAGTGCATAAGCTCCGTGGCGCCTGAGGTCTTACCAGGCCTGTTCTCATGTGGGGCCATGAGAAGCTGTGGGAAAGAGGAGCTAGTGGATGAGTGTCTGTGGAGTTAGGTCCTTCCAAGACCCCTTCCCGCCCACTGACAAGTCCTCCTTCAGAGCTGAGAGAGGAGTGCTGTGAACAAGAAGGCCCGGGAGGCAGTAGAAAGAGCTTAGACTGTGAGGGAGATGTGAGGGTTCTGCTCTAGCACCGCCTCGACTGTCTGTGGAGCAGGCCTCTCCTGCTCTGACCTCAGCTTCCTCATCTGTCAAACAAAGGAATTAGGCCAGACAAGGCCTTTATAATGTCCTTCCAGCTCTGAGGCTCCCTTAGTTGATGAGGCTGGTTTGGTAACACTGAGCCACTTACTGGCCATTCGACCTCCTGATCTCTGGATTTCTGTAGGGGAGCTGGCTCCCATGTGAAGGGAGAGACCACTGTCTCTTAAGAGACCTTCCTCTAAGCTTCAAGCCCCCCTTTCCAGGCAGCCTGGGTCTCCACCCAGATGTCCCTCTGCTATGGTTTAAGTGTCAGTCTCCTCTGAAACTCATGTTGAAACTTAATCCCCAATGTGGCAGTATTGAAGTGGGAACTTTAAGAGATGATTGGGTCACGAGGGCTGTGCCCTCATGAATGGATTAATCCATTGATGTATTAATCAATTGAAGGTTTAATGGATTAATGGGTTAGTCCCACAGGAGTGGGACTGGTAGCTCTGTAAGAAGAGGAAGAGAGACCTGAGCTTGCACACTCAGTGCCCTCGCCAGGTGATGCCGTGCACTGTCTCTGGACTCTGCAGCGGGTCCCCACCAGTAAGAAGGCCCTCACCAGATGTGACCTCTCAACCTTGGACTTCCCAGCCTCCAAAACTGTAACAAATATATTTTGTTTCTTACAAATTACCCAATTTCAGGTATTTTGTTATAAGCAACAGAAAATGGACTAAGACATCCACCAACAACTCAGACTCAATGTCCCTAGACCCAAATCGTTTTGTCTCCCCCATCGAATTGTCTTCTCTTCCTGGATTTTCTCACTGTTCATCTTTGCCCATTCATTCATTCACGAAATATTTCCTGAGTGCCTGTGTTCTGCCTGACAGGATGCTGAGCACTGTGGAGCTCAAGGGTGTGGAGGCAGAGGGACCTGAGGTTACTGCAGGACAAGATGGTGAAAACCATGAAGGATGGGAGAGTGGGGAGCATAGAGGAGGAGCTCCTACCCCAGCCCAGGAGTTGGGGAGGGTTCTGGAGTGCAGTCAGAGAGGCTGACTGAGAGTTGGCCAGAGAGTGGGGAGTGGGTTCAAGGCAGACTGAGTAACACATACAGAGGCTCACAAGTGGCACAGGCCCTGTGGGACCAGCAGGCAGTTCAGGTGGCTGGGTTCGTGTTTAGCGGTGAAAGGCACAAGAGGCTAGACAGACCATGGAGATCCTGCCAGCCACGCTGAAGGCATGGTCTGCACTGTAACAAGAAGTTGCCAAATGATTCCAAGGATGAGTGAGGCCAGATTAGTTTTGGAGATGAGAATGTTGGTGTAAATGGTAGACAGAAGGGGAGAGTGGAAGCGGGAGGCCAGGCAGGAGCCTGGGCAGTGAGGCAGGGGAAACCAGGACAGTGACAGTGGGGGCAGAGGAGAGGGCACTGACTCAAGAGGGAGAATGGGCAGGACTTAAAGCTCATGAGCTGTGGGAGGCAAGGGCTGGGAGAGTTGGGGAACTCCAGGACTTTGACTGGTGGTGCCACCCCCTGAGATGGGGAGACTGGGGGACAATAGGATTTGGGACGAGAGTTGAGACCTTCCTGATCCTGTTACTATTGGCATCCCACATAGCCCGGCAGGCAGCAAGGCTGCTTGGGTCTTTCCTCACCTCTCCTCCTTCCTTCTCCACCTTCTCTAGGTTCAATCAGATTTCCTCACCTGACTTCTGAACCATGTTGGCTCCACACACAGGCCTAGGGCTGGCCCAGGGTACATTTGGGGCTCTGGCCACCACTACCTGCCAAAGGCTCCAGGCCCTCCCTCCTTCCTCCTACCCTTCAGAACCAAAGCCTTGCCTGTTAGATGGGCTCCTAATACCTGGGCCTGGGTCTCCCAGTGCCAAACCAGTAACAACCTGGCGCCCAAACATATGATGGCAGAAACCTGGATTCTCTGTCCTACCCTTGTCTGTTTCCGGAATTAGGACTGAGATAGACATACACTGTCCCTAAGCACTCTTTCTGGGTCATCTTTTGCAGGCCAGACTCTGCAGCCTTCTACATCTCTGCAGTGGCCCCTGTAGGCTGGGAAGTGTCTCACTTACAAGCATTATCCGTGGGATGTGCCCCTGTGGGAAAAGTTTGGTAACCCTTGATCCTGAACAACTCTGGTACATCATCTTCATATGAGACCTTATTAATGAGTAGTAAGTTCACTGTAATCATGATAGATTTAGGTTTAAGCCCAAATTCCATTTTTTAGAACTTTCTTTGAACTCTCCATAAAACCTCTTACGGTGATATGCAACAACTATCATACGTCACAAAAATAAAATTAGCTACCATTCACTAGTTGCCTTGTATAAACTGGAGGGTTTTTTTTGGATTATTTTGTTTTTGTTTTTGTATATTCTCTGTAACCCTTACAACAACTTCGAGAAAGAGGTAGTATTATATCTTTTTATAAAGGAGGTAACCAAGGCTCAGAGAGGTTAAGTGGCTTGCATAAGTCCACACAGCTGGCAAACAGGGGAGTTGGGATCTGAGCTCATGTCAGTCAGGCCCCACAGCCCACATCCTTCCCACTGCACTTCAGCAATGTGCTAGAGCTGCAGTGTGCTCCACCTGCCCTCACGGGAGGGGCTAGTGCAGGGTCCAGCCTGCTGTCTGCAATGCTGTGGAAGGGTTATATGACACAGACTGGACCAGATGACCCTGAGATGCTTGACTGAGAGCAGTATGGGTCAGTCATACCCAGTGCCTCTTGCCAGGGGTTCATGGTCCCCTGTACCATGATCTCCCCTTCCTGTGCAACCATATTTCTGCTTGATCATTCATTCATTCACTCATTCATTTGGCATGTGCCAAACACCAGCCATGGGCATGGCATGTGGCCCACAGGGATGTATAAGCCATGGTTGAGGTGTCTATAGTCTTGTGAGTCAGGAGCTGACCATGCGTGATCCTAAGAAAAGACAGAATGAATAAAATTGGACCAAGTTCAGAGGGAAAGAGGGAAAAGAATGCTTAATTCTGATAGGAGTGAGGTCTGGGGAAAGGAGCATTGAAGGATGTAGACAGAGAAGTGGATGAAGGGAACTTAGGCACTGGTCTAGTCTGGGTGGCAGGTTCAGAAAGCAGGTGAACTGGTCAGGGCAGGGGCTCAGGGTGCAGGAGGGTGGGGTCTTGGAGAGGTATGCAAGGTGAGCAGGCTGGGTGGGAGCTGAGGCCAGGCTGCACAGAGCCCGGAATGCCAGCTTTGCATGCATGTGGTAGGCCTGGGAGACACTGAAAGTTTCTAGCAAGGCAGCACTGTTCTCCATTGATGGAGCCCTCCTCCTATCAGACTGCCCCACTTTTAATTATTCTTTAAGGGCTCTCCTCTTCCAGGAACCCCTCTTGGGTTACTCAGCCCAAAGTTTCCCATCTCTTGGTTCTTGGCCCTTTTGCTGTACTGGCCAACTTTGTGGCCACTGTGCAGTTTCATGCTGTTCTTCGGTTCTTTCATGAGTCCATTTTGTCTCTCTTAAGGGATAAAATGCTTAATAG